CCCCCCCCCCCACCCCACAGTTTTTAATTTTTTTTTTTTTTATTAATTTCATATGAAAATGACATGCTCTCCTATTTAGAGAACAAAAAAAGTTTTATTTATATGGTTCGCCGAAAAGAAGAGCTTTTGTTTACGATTTGGCTGATATAATTTATGTCTAGCGTTTTTCAAATTTCAAGACTTGTATATCTTTTAATATATTCTTATGTAAAATTACTTCAATACATTTACATAACTCATTTGTAGGCAATTTCAAATCCAATGTCATCAACAAATCATATAGTCCAATATGTAGTCGTGAGAGGGGATTTGTTTTCTAAGCTCAAATGGCCGGTTGGTGCTGTCATTGCTCAAGCTTGCCATTCGTGTACTGCTGCAATTCATCTTTACTACAAAGATGAGGTTACTCAGGAGTATCTCAGTGATCTTGACAGAATGCATAAAATTGTATTGGAGGTAAACATTAAATTATTGACTTAAAATATAAATTGTCCAACAATTTTTATGAATCAACTGAAATCTCAACATTTATAAGATTTCCTGATTTGCATAATTTATGCATGCATTTTTTTTGCACTTAGACTTAGGACTAGGGGCCATCCATAAATGACGTCACACAAATTTTTGCAAATTCCCCCCCCCCACCCTTCCATTGTCATTATAAGAGTTCCCTATTTTCATAATTTATGCATGCATTTTTTTTGCACTTAGACTTAGGACTAGGGGCCATCCATAAATGACGTCACACAAATTTTTGCAAATTCCCCCCCCCCCACCCTTCCATTGTCACAAATCATCACAAAAAGACACCACCCTCAAGTATGACGTCGCAAATGTCTGCACCTCCTCCCCCTTATAAAAATTCTCTGTGTCCACTACTGTCCTTTAAAAACCCTTAATGAAGAGATTCATCTCCCTTAACTATCAAATTACTGAACCTGTGTCAGAAACATTTCACTAGAACAGTGGTTCTAACCTAGGAGTAAAAGTACCTCCCCAGCCCTGAGTACTGAGGTGCGGAAGACCAGAAAATTGTATTTGCTGCCATTGCTAGTTGTTGCTACTTTTTTATAAAAAATTCATTATGCATTTTGATTAGCAGCAGTAAATGTTGTTTTTTTCTGGTGAACTATGCGCATTACTTGTATTGTTATTTTTTCACTAGTTTATAAAAAGTTACTTAAAGAAATAGAACTATGATAACTAAATTATTTAATTATTTACATATTTTAAATTTTATTAATTTATATGATTAGGATGGGGGGGGGGGGGGTTGAAAACGTCCTGCAACTTGATCAGAGGCCATTTTTCTGACATCGCATACATGTACTGATTCTCTCAGTGATCGTAGTTTAAAATAATTTATAAATAATGTTAAAAATGTCTGTAATTTAGGGTTGTTCAAAGCAATTCTTTACTATAATGTTCCGCTTTTCATGTGATTTCACATAGTTTAAGCCCCCCCACCCCTGTTGCACATCGTCACAAAAATGTGTTCCTACCTGGACAAGTGACATCATTTAAAGATGGCCCCTTCGTAGGCATACCGATACTCCCTTGCGCATTCATTCTGCGCATGAGGAAAAAAAACGCAAAAATTGAAGTGGCCATCTTACTATCGCTTCTACGGTGACCTCGGATTTATGCGTTTTACGTCACAGTTTCCTATTTGTACATTTGTTTTGTCATCGATGACGTTTTATATTTGTCTTCCGGTGACGCACATGTCGTTAGAGCAACTGGATTGAGCTCTGTTCTTTTCTTGTGTCACTTTGAACATATGGTAAGCTATAAAATGTATTAAATACTCCGTTTTAGCAATAATGTCACATTAAAACCTTTAAAAAACAGTTAAGCATTCAAATGGGGTGGGGAATAACTTTGAAATAGCCAATTTATGCTTTTCCAGTAGAATGAAGTGTCCTTCCAATTGTCATGACCCCACCAGCACCGGAAAAAAAAAAATGGTGGATTTTTTTGTTGCACCGGTATGATGAAAGGGACTCTAAATTACTTTCAATAAGATAGTTTTATTACATTAGTAATCTTTGAACATCAAAATAAATCTAATAAAATTAGTAAAATGTATTATAAAATATTACAGAAACTGATTTGATGATTAAAATTATAACAATTCCATTGATTGTTGAAGTTGAAGCTTTTTTTTTTTGTTAATAAAGGCCGAGAATCGTCGTATATAATTATATAATTATTATAATAATATAGTATTAGTATATAATAATATTAATAAATTAATATGCAAAATACAATAAAAATAGTTAAATAGTAATAGAAATAAGTTTAACTAAGTAATAAATGAACATGATATTAGGCATTAGGCTTAGTAAGTTAGCTTAAGACCAGACAAGTCAACTGGTATGAATAAATAATAAATAAAATATGAAATGTAGATAATGTAAAATGTAAATTACATACAATGTCACCAATGTTATTTGAAGAATAATTTTTTATAGTATGATATAGTAAAAATATAATAATGTAACATTTTGGAAATATTAATTAATAATAATTATTATGATTTATATTATAAATTATGCAAAATTAAAAGTAAAATTATTTCCATAATTTCTTTTGATTTTTTTCCCCAGTCCCCAGCGATATCGAGAATGTCTGAGTCAGTAACTGTTACCCTTCAGGATTTTGATCGTTTGGTGGCAAGCTTTGCCCAAGATGCAGCCACTGGCATATATAGGAATGGCTATGCATTCTATTTGTATACCAGCTGTGCCAACAAGAAAGAGGGCATGATTGCTGCAGTGTCTGCACTTGATGAGGTCTTTATTAAGAAAGATCTCAACTATGTGTCAAATAAGAATGGAATACGTGCAAAGTGTCAAAAATTGTTTACCAATATCTTATCTTTAAAAAAGCATTTCACTCTAACATGGATGAGAATCCAGGATCTTTTGTTTCAGCCTTTTAGTGCGCCAGTTTCCAAGGAAAAAAAGATTGTGCCATCCAGCTCTTCTGGTGCTGCAACTCCATTAACAGATGAAATGTTTCTTCCACAGGTAGCTCAGCAAGAATTAAAGGCTCCACCAAAACTTAAGAAGTTGCGCACTGATTGTAATCAATGCCACTCCATAAGGCAAAGGTGTATAGCCAGGTGTCAGTTTTTTGAAAATAAGGTGAAGGTTGTTAAATGTAAATTAAATGCTAAGTCACTTCACAGGTCCCCTGAGACGAAAGTTTTGACTCAGACCATAAAGAGGAAGACGCAGAGGGTTGAGACACTAAAGCGGGAGAAGACAGCACTGAAGACCAAGGTGCTGCACTTGGAACGACAACTGGGAGCGTCAACAACCAAGATGGAGAAGTGCAGTCTTCTGAGCAGAAGGAACCGCATCCTGCAGAAGAAGGTCACCAAACTACAGGAGGAGGTGTTTCAGCTGAAGGCTACAGTAAAGGCAACGACGGAGGACAGGATAGAGGCACTCTTGAAGGTGGATGAACTGATGGAGGCGTCTGAGAAGGTTAAAGTAATCACTACCACATCTGCAAAATCCACAGGCACCCATGGTAAAGCTCGTAGGCAAAGATATACCTATAATACCCCCATGAGGAAATGTATATATAATTGCATTTTGAACCAGGTGCCTGTGGATAAAGCTGGAATAGTGATTGACTTTATTGTCCGAGAGCTGGCTGGACAGACCTTGTCAGACGTCCCCTGTGCATCCACAGCTGCATCCATGACCTATGAGCTGGGAATCCTCTCTGACCTTCAAGTCGGTGAAGTATTGTTTAAGGCTAATAATGTTACATTAGCCTGAGACTCTACACCACTTGACGGGCAGCACATTAACGCCTGTAACATTTCTGCTGATGGGCAGAACCTGACTCTCCAGACAGCAGGAATAGCAGGTGGTAAGACAGAGGATTACCTAGAGCAAGTCATGAATGCACTTCAGGATGTTGCCTCCGTTTACTCGAGCTTCTATAAAATTCAACAGCAAATGGTGCTGTATACTTTTAATCTCTCTCTCCAGGCAACGCTAAGCGATCGAGCTCGGGTGAATAAGTGTGTGTCTCAGCAACTGGAAGAGACCCTAGGCAAGAAGCTAGTGCAGCTGAAGTGCCACTTACACCCTCTGGACGGCATGGCCACCCAGGCCAGGAAGGAGCTCAAAGCTTTAGACGTTGAGTGGGAGATTAAGGGTAATGTTTTTGGAAGTGAGGGCTGTCAAGGTCATGAAATCATGAGGTAGTGTGTGTGTGATGATTTGAGGACGAATGCGGATTGTGAACTAATTTCATGTCATGGGCGAATGATAGTGGAGTGAACGAGGCATGAGATTGGGGTATAAAAGGGTTCACAGACGTGAGAGTGGGAGGAGAATAATTATTATGTCACGTGGGGATTACGTTCACAGAGGTTAGACGAGAGATAGGACTCGCGACAGCGAGACGTCTTTTTGGAGATAGTGGATTTTGTCATGATATGTTTTGCTGATTGGAATATTGCCATATACTTTGGATTCATGTTCACTAAACTTTGAGACGCATTAATCCAGTAATGCTGTCAGCAAATAAATGTCTTATGTACCTTGAAGCGTATTGTTTTGATGAATCAACCTAGTCTGTTGTGTGACAAGATTTACAAGAGATTAAACCAAAGCGAGAATCATAAACCTAACAACGAGCCAAATATTCAACAACAAGAATATTTGACAAGGGCTGTGCAGCAAATTTGGTTTATGCTGTATCTAAATTGAGGTAAATATAAATAATTATTATTTTATACATTCTATTCAAAATTTGTTTTTTTAAGTGCTATGTTTTTTTTAAATTGATTGTAAATTTGAGATACTAACATTTTTCCTTTACATCTGCAGATACAAAATGAAATCAGGAGATCCATAATGAAATCAGGAGATCCATCAGGGTTTAAGGCCTTCCTTGAGAGATCTAAGCTAAACCCAGGAGTCATAGTACGCTATGTGGGGAACAGACTCCATGTTCTGTTCCACCTAGCTGGGATTATTGTCCACCTGAAGGATCTGCTATCCCAGTACTTGACTAAGTACTCAACTGCTATGGGGTTGCGATCGGTCATTATGAAGGATCTCGACAACCCCAACATTTTTCTTCAGTTGAGAGCTTTAGGTAAATATATATTATTTTAAAATATTGCAGTGGTGAAATGTTACAATATCTCATGTAGTTTATCAATATTATACATGTATGTATTGTTTCCTAAATTTTATTATATTTTATATGTTAGGTCTCTTCGGGAAGGTCTTGACTGGCCCCTGGATGACCACATTCTATAAGAATCCTGGTGGATTAAAGCATTTGGAAATGGTATGTGTTCATTATAATTGTCTATAGCGATTAACCACCATTATAATTTTTTTAAATATTATGTGCCCATTAAAAAAAGTCCATTATTTTCTTTTTATCACAGACTCCACTCATCAAAACGTGCATGGTCACGTTGAAGGAGATTGCAGACAACCCAGCCTTGGTCCTCACCATCGACCATGATGTGTTCAACCACCAGAACGTTGAGTGGGAGATTAAGGGTAATGTTTTTGGAAGTGAAGGCTGCGCAGCTAATTTGGTTTATGCTGTGTCTAAATTGAGGTAAATATAAAAAATTATTATTTTGTATATTCTATTCAAAATTTGGTTTTTAAGTGTTATGTTTTTTAATTGATTATAAATTTGAAATACTAAAATATTTTCTTTACATTTACAGATACAAAATGAAATCAGGAGACCCATCAGGGTTTAAGGCCTTCCTTGAGAGATCTAAGCTAAACCCAGGAGTCATAGTACGCTATGTGGGGAACAGACTCCATGTTCTGTTCCACCTAGCAGGGATCATTGTCCACCTGAAGGATATGCTATCCCAGTACTTGACTAAGTACTCAACTGCTATGGGGTTGCGATCGGTCATTATGAAGGATCTCGACAACCCCAACATTTTTTTGCAGTTGAGAGCTTTAGGTAAATATATATGTATTTTAAAATATTGTAGTGGTGAAATGTTAAACAATATCTCATGTAGTTTATCAATATTATACATGTGTGTATTGTTTCCTAAATTTTATTATATTTTATATGTTAGGTCTCTTCGGGAAGGTCTTGACTGGCCCCTGGATGACCACATTCTATAAGAATCCTGGTGGATTAAAGCATTTGGAAATGGTATGTGTTCATTGTAATTGTCTATAGCGATTAACCACCATTATAATTTTTAAAAATATTATGTGCCCATTAAAAAAGTCCATTATTTTCTTTTTATCACAGACTCCACTCATCAAAACATGCATGGTCACGTTGAAGGAGATTGCAGACAACCCAGCCTTGGTCCTCACCATCGACCATGATGTGTTCAACCACCAGCTGGAGGTGGATGATGTCCTGCTGAAGCTGAGGAGCAACTCCCAGGAAACATCAGAACGGTTTTTTTTTACAATCTCCTTACTAGCAAAATGTTTTTTAAATGTTTTAAGTAGGCAGCTGGGGGATTATACTGATGGTGAGCTGGCGGACCCCCAACCAGACCTGATGGCAAAGACTTCATCTGCTCCAGTTCACAACATCTTCTGTGAGCGTGTGTTGGGCATGGTGGATGCCCAGGTTAAGAGGGCACCCAACGCATCCATGGCTTTTGTTGATGCCAAGGTGAAGTCTCTTGCCAATAAGACAATGGAATGGTTGGTAGGGAAACCCAGTTCGGAACAGGTTAGGATGATTTCTTTTGCAATTAACTTTGCACGTAGGCAGGTTAAAGTTCTTAAGAGTAGGGATAAGTTAATGAGACAGGTGGTTATTTTTAGACAGACAGAATTAGCGCAGAAAAGGGATAAGACAGATAGAAATAAATTAGAAAGAAACGTTAGAAACTGTCTGGAAACTGGATTGGGGTTGGATGATGATGTTTTCTCTAGTCTTCTCCCAGGTACTAAAGAAAATTTTAATGAAATGTTTCAGAACCCTGTAGACTGCCTGCCCTTACCTATCAGGCATGTTTGGCATGTAGATGGAGAAGACAAGGTCTTTGAGGGGGAAGTAGTTGCAGTGGTAACTAAAAACAAAAAGAAGTGTTGTCGTGTAGTTTATAGTTTAGATGATATTCAGATTATTCCTGTTACTTTTTTAATTGCAGATGCCATAATGGGAGATTTTCATTTCAGTTAGATAATTTCAAAATTTGTTGCTGTTTGCTTTTGTCTATGGGTACATTAAAAAACATTTTGTTAATTTTTCCTTTTCAGCATGCATTGTTCACATTTAATTTTAAAGTTACTGTTAATACTGTTAATCATTTTTAGATTTTGTTAAGTTTAGAATTGATTACTTTTTTTAATACTTTTCCCATTTGTATTCAGGTTATTTTGTTCACTTTTTCATGCTTTTTATAGATTTCATTGTGTAAATACTTAAAAACAATATGAACCTTTGTTTTTGTTGTTGTTTAATTTTGAAGGGATATTTTTTTTAATACCTCCTTTATTCCATTTTTCTGTTTCAGGCTCATATAACTTTTTATTCTAGTGTTTTTAATGCTGTTTGAATTAATTTAGAAAATTATAATTTGTAGATATGTATATAATGTATATGTATTTTTTTATCTTTTGTCTTGATTACTTTTTTAATACTTTTCAAACTTTTCTTTTTCAGACTGTTAACTTCTCTTTTAATCTTTTTATTAGTTACGGTACTGTTTGTATTTATTTAGAAAGTTATTTTGTGTAAATATATTAATGTAAGAACCATTTTGAATTTTACTTTTTTAAAATACTTTTCACATGTTTATTTTCAGGCTGTTATCTTTTCTTTTAATGTTGTATTATTACTGTTTGCATTTCTTTATAAAATTATTTTGAGTAAATATATTTATGTAAGAATTTTCATTTCTATTCAATACTTTTCAATTTTTTATTTTCAGGCTGTTATCTTAACCTTAATCTAGTATTAATTACTGTTTGCATCAATTAAGAAAATTATTTTGTGTAAACACTTAAATATGTATGTACTATTGATTTGCTTCTCACTTTAATTTTTTTTTTGAACTATTCCATTTGTCTTTTTCAGGACGTTTATTTTCTTTAAAAAAAAGGTAACTATTAAATTTCATATTACAGTACAAGTATTAATTATAATTAAGACATTGATTAAATATTTGTTGGGTATCATTACTTTATAATTATATGCATGAAAGTCTGACTTTACTTTGGAATACATTTTAAAAAATCATTCCCCCCCACCCCTTTTTTTTTTTTTTTCAGAATATTTCAAATTCATCATTTCATACAGATAAGTGTTCATATTATTAGTATTAGTTAAACATTTATTGTCTATAATTTATTTACAAACTGACTTTGCACCATTTTTTTTGTTACATTACAGTGTAACTGTTTTGACTCAGTATTTGAATAATTTATTAATATTTCTATTTTTATATTTAGGTCCTTATATTTGAATAATTTATTAACAGTTCTATACTTCTTTTCAGGACGTATTAAGTAGTAGCACTGTTTTATCTCATGCAATTAGTTTATATTAATATTATGGTTTGATTTTATAAAAATAAAATTAAATTTTTCATTTCTTTTCAGGTATTTTTAAATCCCCTACAGAACATAAAATGCCTATAATCAAATTATAATTTTTATGTGATATTCTTATTACTTGAAAATGGAATAAACATGCAATTTTTTTTGTTTTTCATGTAAAGAAATAATAATTTTTCCAAAAAAAAGTGTTTTTTTTACCAAATTTTTTTTCACTTTCTCTGCAAAAATATTTTTTCAAAATAAATTTATCTTCTATAATGTGCAACTTTTGTTTTCATTGTGTTTTACATTGCATTGAGAGTGTGTGCTGAAAATTTGGTACCCTTATCTTTAAAAATAAAAAAGTTATGGGTCAAAAAGTGGAAAAAATTGAAAAGTGGGTCACAAGTTTTTGGGGTCAAATATATAGCATAAAAAAATTGACAAAAAAAATCATAACTCCAGTTCTATAAAAGATAGAAAGATAAAGTTGGTGTTGTTATAAAGCTTATGGCTAGCCCTTTAAAATGATGTATCATTCATGGCAATCGGACAATATTTAAATTTTGTGTCAAAGTACCTACCCTTAGAAGAATAAACATGTCTTATTTAAGGAACGGGCTTAAATTTTATGGTTGTTGAAGTCTAAATAAGTCCTAATCCATATTTGAATGAGATTCAGTGTGAAAAACTGCACAAAATATCAACCTGGGGCTACTTAACCCTTTTGACATATTCCAAGGTCACATATTTTTAAAGCATTTTTTAGGTGTCACTAGGTAAAAACAAATTGATATAAAATGATAGAACACATTAAAAGATTGGTCCTGCTGTCCCAAGAGAGTTAATAGCCCTCAAAAATGACTCAAAGAGGTCTTCTGACTTCTGTCCCTGCCAGTCTAATAGACTAGACCTAGGCTAGAGGAGTAATATTATAGTAATAATCAAATTTTGATCAATTAAAATGTGATTGGGCCTAATTATAAATTGAATTTTATATCTTTTACTGAGGACAAAATGACACTTAGTTGCCCATAAAGGTAATAAAAGTGCACTTATTGTTATAAATATGGATTTTGCCAAGAGTTGTCTCACCCTAAGGCCTAAGGGCTGTGACATCACATTAGGTAATCCCAGCGCTTGACTAAGAGTAAAAAGACCAAATAATGTGTAGAGTATTTATCAAGCTTGCTTTCTTAAATTGTAGGATATTATGTTAATAAAGACTAAAATTGTATTATTATCTCCATTTATTAAGGTTACCTTTATTTTCATGTTAAAATTTCAAATTTGAAACCAGGAAATTATAAATCTTTAGTACCTTGAGTGTCCAAATATAAACAATTGTGTGGTTTAACAGAAGTTTTGTTAGTCTTTGAGGGATTACTTTGATAAACATATATATCTTGATCTTATGTGAATTTTTCTTGTGTTATTTATTTATACTTGGATAAATCTTTTGTTAAATTAATTTTGTGGGCTTTAACTCTAACGGTTACAACTATCAACTAAGCAGGACAAATGTCTAAAAACCAGCACTTTACTGGTAAATACAGAATGAATGGTCACCCTACCCTTAATGAATTGTCATTGTGTTGAAATATTATTTTTGTATTAATGCAATTAAAGTACGGTTCCAACTATCAACTAACTAGGCCAAATGTCCAAAAACTAGTACTGTACTAGTAAAAACAGTAGGAATGGTCACCCTACCCTTAATGAATTGTCACTGTGTTGAAATATTATTTGTGTATTAATGCAAATAAAATAATTTCTTACTCAGTTACATTGACAACAACAGAGTACTATTAAAATAAAGGAGATCTACAAGTGCTAATGGACAATCCATAAATGATGTCACATATGGAGGTTCAGGGCTCGCTAGCTTTTGACTATAACTATAAAAAATCTGTCAAAATAGCCTGAGCTCCACTATGGATTTTTTATTGTATCATATAGCTTACTAACTTAATGTTTCTAAAATTCTTTTTAGGCGAAGGATGAAGAGAGTCTAAACAAGTTATCAGAGACACTCAAAGAGAATAATATTGACCACAAGCTTTGGCTTGAACAGCCAGAAAATATTCCTACATGCATTGCTGTCAAACCCTACAGAAAAACGGACGTTCAGGCCTTCTTCAAATCATTTAAGTTATTTAGATAAAAATGTAGGGATTTTAGTCGCATGTATGATTGAAATATGACGTGCAAACACTGAGATTGTATGTTAAGTTTACTTTTTTGGAAAGGTGACTTACTTATTTGATTGTTTTGGAGCTATTTGCATCAAATGGTGCACCACATGGTGCATTATATGGTGCATAAGTTTTATTTTAATTTATACACAGCTAAAGAATAATAAAAAATGTTATGCTCTTCTGATTTTGTAACAGCCAATTTTATAAAAGTGGAAATAAAAAGCTGTCAAATATTTTGAGATGAATTTTGATCTTTTATTATTTTTACCCCCTTTGTTATGAGCAGAGCAAGTAAAATTCTGAAGAAAGAAAAAGCTCTGAATATATATATAAAAAAAAAAAAAAAAGAAATTGCGGTTCACACTCTGAATTTAAACATTTCATTGAAATGCATCTAGTAACAAAACTGAAGACTGGGATTTTATTATTTTTACCCCCTTGGTTATGAGAAGAGAAAGTAAAATTCTGAAAAAAAAAAAAGCTCTGAATATATATAAAAAAAAAAAAAAAAAAAGAAATTGCGGTTCACACTCTGAATTTAAACATTTCATTGAAATGCATCTAGTAACAAAACTGAAGACTGGGTACAGCGGTGGGTGGTTTTGGGGACTATTTGGAGAATGTTTTTTCCCTTACCCAGGATCTTAAAATTTACTTGGTACTGGTTCAAGTGCGAGTGATAATTAAACTATATTTATGCATAAACTTAACAAGAATATTGTTACTCAGGTTTAAGTATAGTGTTGACCATTATAAATTTAAAAAATTTTTTTTTAATATTTCATTTTTGAAAATCGCTTCTAAAGAAATTTTCATGAAGTGGAGTATACTCGATTTTTTAAAAAACTCAGTTTCTTGAGTTCCTTCCCTTTAGTAATAACTCTTACTATCTCAGAACGCAGGAAATGTTGAAGATTACCTCTCTTCGATAATAAAATCACGAATTAAAACGACGGGAACAAATTGATCTTGTCAAGTACAGGTACCGTGATATGGTTTTCAAAATTTAATCTGTTGTTAGTTTGGCTCGTTAATTATGAAAAATATTTAACAAAGGACTGACACCACAAACAAAGATTGATAAACGATAACAAAAACAAACAACAAAAAATTGAGGGGGGGGGTGTGAAAAGAGGTGGTGGAATGCTTTAGCTCTACTTTACTTTAATTAATTAATTTTTTTATTCAGTCAAGACATTGGCTATACTATGCTTAATAAGTTAAATTTTAACAAAATATGTTACACATTTTTTTTTAAACTCGCTTTTATTTAAAAGCACTTAAAAATACCTCAAAAATGCACCAGGATTTCCTAAAATTAATCATTTCTACAAAAATACAAGTGCAGCCGCCAGACATCGAAGGAAATGCTGCAAAGTAAAAAAAAAAAAAAATGCTCAGCCTTAAAAGCATAGTGTTGCCGATCTCCTTTAAAATCTCACGAAGAACGCGATCTCAGTGATTGCCGGAGTGACTCGACTTTTTGTTTGTTTTAAGGGTTTATTTTCTGGGTACTTTTTCGTTTGTTGATTTATTTAAAATAGAAAAAAAAAAAGCTATCTGCATTCATTCTATCAATGTTTAGACACATTTAACCATTTCAAGACTCAATGTGAGAAAAGTTCAATGAGTGAAACTTTGTTGAACATTTAGATGTTTATTGGTCTATATAATAATAAATATATTTATAAGATAAGGGCACTGTATAAAGATCTTAAGGATTGCCTGTACATACATTAATTTTCATTGGAGGGAAATAAAATGTTGAAGAAATTATTCGATTTATTTATTTTCTTTTATAATTTACAAGCCATGACAAGTAAAAATACAAAAGAACATTATTTTATTTTTTTAAAATATTAATTAATTTTAGTATACTCTCTGATTAATTAAAGGAATGTAATCAAATGGTCAGAAATTATCTCTCTTTTTTTTTTTTTTCAATCTCCCGCAAGCAATATTGGTAATTTGAGAACATTAGTATTTCCGGTTCTCGTCTAAGCTTTAGAATGTAGAACCAACGCACGCACACATACACATAGCCTTCATTAGAGTCGTTCCATTTCTGACAAAGAAACTCTTCATTGGAGCTGAAACATTTGCTCATGTTTTGTGGCTTTTAACCGCCGAAGGAAATGCGGTGATGTCTACCAGCGAGACTTGAGTACTAATGAAATGATTGATTCATTATCTCTTGGTAAAGTTGATCACTCCTAGACACGTGGTATTCGATCCTCGCATCTCATTGGCTGCAGTACCGGTAATACCCACATTCGAATTGACTCGAAGCAGAGGCTTACCCCTTTGATAGGTAATTTGATTTCTAATCTCTGCATTATTCACCCTGCTTTCTACTTGACAATGCTAGTCTCAAACTTTTAGTTTCGTTGGTTTATTCCGGGATTACTTTTTTTTTTTTAAATTCTCTTTCAAAACGAATTCCACTACACCAGAATTCATTTCAAATATTTAAGTCGAAAACAAGTTTCCTATTTTAAAAGAATCCATTAAATCGCCAGCAGACGTCCATACTCCAGAGAGTTGAAAGCATTTTAATTGACTGCTTTGATCTACTTAAAATTGGTGACTAAAGTTTTACGTTGTGGTTTTTCTCGGTATTTGCACTTATTTGTGGCTGCTCTCATCTCCCCCCTCCCCTTTCCCCCTCCCCATCACCGAGAAGTCTAGTTACCGCGCCATTAAATAAACATGGAGATGTTGTCTGGGTGGACGTGTTCTCAGTCTGCTGCTTGATCCACGTGGGGAATCGTCGAACAGCGCAAACAATCCAACTCCTAAAGACTCTGAAATTTCCAGTCGGACTCAGCAAATTAGGTTCCCATTAATATCTAAATTTCCCGCGACGTCGGAATGCCGCCTTCTGTTTGCCTGGAATACTGTCACCCATTTATTACACGTTCAGGGCGTATGAATCTCATGATGCTTTTATTCTTCTTGACTAGTCCCATCATATTCAACTTTATCATTTATTTTATTGCATTTCAAAAAAATCACCCAGAAAACAGTAAATGCATCATTTAAATTTGATATTTCTGAGGCCTAATGATTTCCTCGGGCCTAAAATTTTTTTCTTGAAAATGGCTGACATAATTAAAACTCCACATTTGTCCTTATTAGAGTGTTAGGGGTTAGAGTGTTACAGCGACAGGAGAATATATGTGACAGTGTTTAGACTTTAAAAGTAATGAAAAACTCGTTCAACTGAAGATGAGCATGGAACAGAGCATCTGAAAGTATTAATTTTTAAAAAAATTGAAATGGTGCTACTCAAAAAGGTGCAGTCACGGATCGGTAGCAGTTGCCGGTAATGAGCCTACAGTCACAGGTAGCAGTTGCCGGTAATGAGCCTACAGTCACCGGTAATGATCCTAGAGTATCAGCTAGCAGTTGCCGGTAATGAGCCCACTGACACAGCTAGCAGTAAGCAGTTGCCGGTAATGAGCCTACAGTCACAGGTAGCAGTTGCCGGTAATGAGCCTACACTCACAGATAGCAGTTGCAGGTAATGAGCCTACAGTCACAGGTAGCAGTTGCCGGTAATGAGCCTTCAGTCACAGGTAGCAGTTGCCGGTAATGAGCCTACAGTCACATGTAGCAGTTGCCGGTAATGAGCCTACAGCCACAGGTAGCAGTTGCCGGTAATGAGCCTACAGCCACAGGTAGCAGTTGCAGGTAATGAGCCTACAGTCACAGGTAGCAGTTGCCGGTAATGAGCCTACAGTCACAGGGTCAACAGAACGTAAAAAAATATATATATATATTTTTTTTTAAATATCGAAAAATAAAAATCAATTGTTCTCGGCTACAATTCCAAGTGGTCTGTCCTACCTTTAATTTTGAGAACAAATGTTTACTGTTTACCAAGGTTTTCCAACCTGGGATGCTGAGGTGTCATATCAGGGGGTTGGGGGGAGATATGCTTATAAGAAGAAAAGACACATACGCCTACTACCATTAAAATAGTTTTTTTTTTTTTTCAAATCTGTTTCTTCATTAACACTTCACGGCAGCGCTTCCCAGCCTTTAAAGTTTGGTGGACCGATGGACACGTTTGACATGACATCAGGTACCGGTGCCAGATTTAGTCATTAACATTTTTTTTTATTCGACAGTAAATATCTCGTTGTGCGGACCGGCAACGTAAGACTCGCAGACCGGCAACGTAAGACTCGCAGACCGGCAACGAAAGACTCACAGACCGGTAACGTAAGACTCGCAGATCGGCAACGTAAGACTCGCGGACCGGCAACGTAAGACTCGCAGCACGGCAACGTAAGACTCGCAGACCGGCAACGTAAGACTCGCAGACCGGCAA